CACAGACTGAGCGCGGTCGCAGACCAGAAAAAACGCTTCTCATAACACCAACCGATTGTAACCTAAACAGTTGAACAAATATATCCTTGCATTATCCCAAATTCACCGGTACATTACAACGGCGACGAGGATGGGATTCACGCAACAAAGACGGATATAAAAAAAACTGAGCGACATTGGAACAAAGGAGACAGTTGTAACGTGAGCGACTTCCCATCTCGAACCTAAAGAATACCTCGCATCAGGAAAATTGAAGAGTTCGATCAAAAATCGGAATCATTGTCTTCGTACATCCAAAGAGTCGAAGTGTTTTTCGCTGCTAACGACATTCTGGAGTCAAAGCGAGCAGATATTATTCTCACTATTGCCGGACGAGAAATGCACGGACAAATAAGAAACTTGGTGGCACCTGCAAAACTAACCACCAAGACTTGTGTACACATCGTTCAACCCGACGCCCAATGAAACGGTTGAACGCTACAACTTCTACACCGGAAGCACATGGAATACGAAGCCATCGCAGACTACGTAGCTGAGCTGAAACAACTTTCCCTGCAATGCAACTTCGGTGTTTCTCTCAACAACCGGATCCGAAAAAAGCTCTCTGACGACATTAAGAACGGAAACATCCTCGAAAAGCTGCTGGCTGAACCGACGCTGAAATTCAAGGCAGCGGTGGATGTTACCACTTCGATGGAGTTAGCCACGAAAGAGCGACACCGAGACCCAGCAAGGTGTCAATCACTTGGCCCCCATGGGCGGAAATACAAGACGTCACTTCCGAAAAAGGCAATCGAGGGAAAAGGAAAATCTCGCACAAGCAGGATCCCCTGTCACAATTGCGGCATCAATAATCACGACCCTGAAACCTGCTTTGCAAGGAAGAAGACTTGTAAAACATTCGGAAGAACTGGACACTTCCAAATGATCTGCCGCGACAGGAGAAGTGATCACCAAGATTAAAAAAAAGGAACGATAAACCAAATTTCACTAACCATTTCACCACACAGGACTCGAGAGACAAAACACCGCTTTACTTCAACGACTCAAGCCACCCGAAACCCATCGCAGTAACCGTGGAGATTTGCAACAAACCTCTTCAGATGGAAATCGACACATGCTCACGCGTGACAGTGATCAAACTATAGACGTTTTAAGAAATTTCTTTATATATCCACTTGACACCTTCGGGAATAACGCTGAAGCCGTACACTGGCAAGGTTATCGTTCAAGAGGGAATAATTTAAGTGGAGATGCGGTACAACGGGCAAGTCAAGCGTCATGAAATCCAAGTGGTGAAGAATGGGGGACCTGCCATACTGAGAATGGCATGGGTTCAGGATTTTCAAGTGAACTGGACGGAGGCACACAGCGTGGGAGCAGAAGTCTAACTCTCGCAAGTGAGCTTGAGAAACACGATTCCCACTTTGAAGGTCTGGGAGAACTGAAGGACTACGCCATAAAACTCTGCGTGAATGAACGTATTCAATTAAAGTTTTGTCAGAACAAAATTAGTTCCATACGCTCTCCGAAAAAAGATCGAGGAGGAGCTGGATCGTCTTGAGAAAGACTCAATCACTCCTGTGATGAGGAGTGGGTGGGCGACCACAATCGCTCCAGTGATGAAAGGAAGTTGACAAGTCCATATATACAGTGATTACGAGGTTACACTCAACTCAGCCTTAAATCCAGATAAGTACCCACTACCAAAAACTGGAGATAACTTTGTGAACATTTTCCATGGGGAGAAGTACACCAAGCTGGATTGCGAACAAGCCTACTTCCAAATACCTTTGCGGAAGAATCAAGAAATCTCACCGTGATCAACACACACAGAGGACTCTATCATGCAAACAGAATAAGTTGGAATAACCCTAATGTCAGCTGTCTTCCATCGCGTCACTGAAGATCGGGAAGTTGCCGTGCGGAGGCGCAATTCAGGAGGATATCCTGGTAACTGGCACGAACGATCAACATCACCTGCGGAACCTTGACAGGGTACTGCAAAAACTCAAAAATAGTGGCTGTCGCTTGGGAAAGGAAAAATGCTGCTTCATGCAGAACTCCATCGAGTACCTTGGATATGTCGTATGCATGCAAGGAATCCACCCAAATCCCAAGAACATGTATGCAATCCTACAAGCGAAGGCACCCAAAGACTAAAAAGAACACAGAGCATTTCTGGGACTGCTGAACTACTACGGAAAGTTAATCGGGAAAACAACCGACATTCTACATTCGCTACATTAATTTCGGCGAAAAGGTAAAAGGGGAAATGTCTGAGATTAAGCCAGGAAGCCTGAACAAAGCGAAGGAGCCACTCATTAAGAAAGGTCTGCTAGTGCACTGTGACCCTGCACTTCCTCTGGAACTGCACTGTGACGCATCGAGCCATGGCACTGGTGCAGTACTTCAACACGCACTTCCTAACCAGCAACGGAGGCCAATCGCCATCAAGTCAAGAACGCTTTCCAAATGTGAGCAAAACTACTTTCGGATTGACACAGAAGCGCTGAGTCTAGTAGAAGTCGTAAAGAAATTTCACCAGTATTTCTTTGGACGCCGCTTCAGGCTGTGGACGGACCATAAACCTCTGGAATCGATTTTCAATCCCAGTAAGGAAATCCCAGGCACGGATGCAGCAAGAATGCCGCGATGGGCGATCATCTTGTCAGGGTATGACTTCGACATAAAGTATGTGCGAGCCGATAAGAACGTGGTCGCGGAAAAGCAGCCACGGCTCCTAATGACTGACAACGGCGCTACAAAATCAGAAACTACAACAATGGCCGAAATTAAATCTCTCCATCTAAAAACATATCAAGCACTTCCACTCACAAATAAGCTAATGAGCAGAAAGACACGAAAGGACACCGTGCTGTCAAAGGTTTTACGACTCACCACGGAACGATGGCCGGAACAAATAAATTCCGATGACCTCGAGCATTACGTCCGTCGCAGAACGGAACTAACCGTGGAGCTCGACTGCGTAATGTGGGGAACACGCGTCATCGTACCCTCGAGGTACTAAAAACACGTTTTGAACGACTGGCATCAAGGTCATGCGGGAATCACAAAGATTAAGGGAATGGCACGAATCTAGGTGTGGTGGCCACTTTTGAATCATGATATCGAAACAATGGTCCGAAGTTATCGACCGTGCCAGGAAGTCAGCAATGAGGCACCGAAAGTTCCCATACACCCGTGGGAATACCCAACAAATAAATAGTAACAACTGCCTGCAGACTTCGCAGGACCCTTTCAAGGAAGGAATTGCATGCTGATCATTGATGCCTACTTGAAATGACTTCGGACGACGACTTCGGAGGCCACCAAAAGAGTGTTTTTAACTCTCTTTGCAAGATATGGACCGCCAGAAAAGATCGTGACTGTCAATGGCCCGCAATTTCTTTCAAGCGAATTCCGAAATTTCATGACAAGAAACGGAGAGCAGCAGTCATTCTAACCCCAGAACCATTCCGCAACGAACGGTGCAGCAGAAAACTTCGTGGGAATATTCAAGAAGTCTGCCAAGGCAAGCCTGAAGTCGGGGCTGACCATGGAAGAGGCATGCCATAACTGCTTGGGGGCATACCGGACGACCCCGCACACGACAACTGGCTCAACACGTGTTAAAATGATGACCGGAGACGAATTGTGCACAAGGTTCGATCTTCTTCGACCATCAATAACGGAAGTCGTGTGATCAAAACAAGTGAAACAGCACGCCTCGCGCAACACTAAAGAACGACGCCTACATCATAACGACCAGGTATGTGCAAGAAACTACAGGAAAGGCAAGAAATGGCCGAAAGGCGGCGTCGTCCGTGCTCTAGGAAACTGAACATATGAGATTCGCACAAACGATGGAAATACATGAAACTGATACGTCGAACAGCTGAGACACGTAACCAAGGAGGAAGGGGGTATATCTACGAATCAAGAAAACAACCTCAGGCGCGCAAGAAGATCGAGAAAGTTCGCCCTTCCCGCGGCATCAGTCAGCGAAACGGTCTCCGATTTCCAGTGCCGACTTTCCAACCACGATTGAAGACAGTCAGTACGATCCTGCAAAACCGGAGGCAGGCGCTCCAAGCTGGCCTACCACACCGCTTAAAGGCTCGATCCAACAATATTAACTTGGAAAGAACTTACAGTTTTTCATTTTTGCATTGTTTATGTTACCAAAAGGAACAGAGAAACCGCCTAATTCTTTTGAAATATCGCGATTCCGTTTCGTAATAGACAAGAAAAGAACGGGAATATTTGGCGATTCGCAACCGCGTGGTGGTGGCCACGAGAACTAAGTCGTGACGCGGAAGGTGTATAATGTAACCGGTTGGCAAAATGTGTCATTATTTGCTCAATATTCTAATGTCATCTTTGATCAATATTGTCGCTCCAACATGAGTAAATACGTCAAAAACCTCATGTCCTCCACAAAGTTGTACTATATTCAGTTTTAGGGGTGCCATCCGCCCGATGTGAAAAAAAAAAAAAAAACTATTCCTCCCTTCAGCCTCACCTCGTTGTGCTACCACGTCAGTCGAACTTCCTCGCAAAAAGGCAAGCGCTTTGCTCTAACCCCTCTCCCCTTTTCTATAACGCTCAGTGTCTCAGACAAACTTTCAAGGTCGCAATCTGAATCGCCAGCAGAGGCCGCGCGCGCTGAAGGTTCTTAGTCTTTACTACCAGGACGAAAATGGCAATATGATTGCAAAGAAAACAGTGTTTCCTTATTCAGACATACCGACTCATCACAAAAATATTTTGTAAATTAAAATTTTGAAAATTATTATTTAGAAAAATGATGGTACTCAATTGAGTCCCTGGGTAGTCACGTCGTGTGAAAGTTAAGAAACCAATTTTTGTTTTGCAGGCACAAAAACATGTTGCACTTTAAGCACCTGACCCTGGTCTTTACCGCACAGCCGAAGTTTCTACATTTCATTGAACTCCCTAGTTTCATATGGTCAGTAAAATGCCTGAATCCATCTAACCTGGCATCATTGTTTGGTATTGGAGCAGGTGTTCTGGTATTTCTCTGTCCATCTGTAGCAGACCTCGAGACACTTTCAGCAGGAACTTCACGTGAATTTTTTGCTCTGATGCGAGTTTCTGTAACGTCAGCTTCAACATCAATTAAGCTGAGCTTCTTTCATTCTCTGTCCTCTAATTCAAAGTCCCTCAGGTATTACACCCACGCATTGCATACTGCCATGTCCAAGAAATGGGCGAAGAGACGAATTGTCCACTTCTTAGTCCAAAGCGATACCCGGTAGTACGAAACGTACCTTCATAAGGTCGATGCCTCCCATGTTGATATTGTATTGAGCAACGACGGCAGGTCGGGCAACGTCGACTTTCTTGTGCTCCTCCTTTGACCACCTTTTAAGGGGGCGATGCAACAATTTTTTACTTTGCGTAAATACCGTTAAGAATGGGTCCCTGACGTTAATGACCTATAAAACACCCGTTCGTTTTTCACCCCACGCTATAGGAGTCTCCGAAAAAAAAATAAAAAAAAAACGAGCAGCGTTCACTTCCTCAACTCGCAGCCAAAACAAGCGGCCACGTGATCTGGAGCAAATTATATGCCGCCAATGTTGATCATAGCCACGCGCTGGGGTCGGCAAAGCACAGAACACGCGCTGAGCTCCAGACATTGTTATGATTCGGCTATTGTAGTCGTTGCAGCGGTTGGACACGGGTCACTACCCGAATACCTCTCGAGCTAGTAAGTATTAGAGCACTGCACGGGCCGGAATTTCTAGGCCCGGCCCGACCCGGCCCGGTAGAGACACGGCCCGGGCCCGGCCCGAGCCCGACAGAATTTTAGATTTCTAGGCCCGGCCCGACCCGGCCCGAAAGAGACACGGCCCGGGCCCGGCCCGAGCCCGACAGAATTGTTAATTTCAAGGCCCCGCCCGACCCGGCCCGATAGCTGTAGCCCGAAACAACCCATTTCCCTTTGAACCCGTCCTGTTTCGACCCGCTCCCGAAACGAGCTCCCCATTTGAACCCGTCCTGTTTCGACCCATTCTTTAAACACCCTTCCCATATGAACCCGTCCCGTTTCGACCAGTTCCCTAAAGGCCCTTCTAGTTTGAATTTGTCCTGTTTCGATTTATTCCCTAAACGCCCTTCTTATTTGAACCAGTTTCCGAAACACCCTTTGCGTTTGAACGTGTCCCGTTTCAACCTACTTTTATAAGGCCCTGCACATCGCAACCTCTTCGCAAAAAGTCTCCATCGTTCTAAGCCTGGCCTGCGCACCTTTTCTGTTTAAGAATATGTTCTGAAGTAGCTTTACATGTCAACGCGTTCTTAAAATATACAACCCTTTCAGGCAAGCTTAAGTTTAATATATTCCTAGTTAACCCCTTAAAACGTTTGTTTCAAGATGGTTCCCAAAACGTGCAAGCGCGGAACGGACTTTGTACACTACGCGACACCGATACCGCGAACAGGACGTTGGCTCTTTTTTCGAATTTTACTTCGAAATGGTTTTAGTAGGCACCAAAGTATACCGCTTAGGTCTGTGGCCCAGATGAGCACTTCTAAAGACACTAATATTTTTGAAAACAGCGTTTTGATTCTATGAGATAAGCATAAAAACACGACGATCGCTTGTTCGCGCTAATATTGGCGACGAGATCTTTGGGTGGCGCCGCCTCGCGGATGCTTTCTGTAACCTAGTCAGTAGGATGCTAGCAGACGACGCTATATGTAATCGTATGAGACATTTCTGTTAGTTTACAGCAGGGACGATTGATAATTATTTTTAAAATTTTATGACGTGTCATGAGCTTTTGTGGGACTGAACGGCAGCCCCTCCTAAGCTCTCTTGATAGATACCAGCTTTAAGATGTTTGAGAGCAAGCCTAGAACTTGGTAGCGCGCGCGCAGTCCAACGCGGATGCGCGGTTGCGCTGGTAGTGCTTGCTGACTTTCTTTTGTTCTGGATTAAGCGTGTGGCGATTCTTTGTCTGTTAGTCCTGATTAGTTTAATCTAATTTTAATCTAGCAGCGTTAAGTTCGCATTCAGCAGGGCGTGAGGGGACAACTGTGCACGCGCGCGTTGTCGTTGTGGTGGTATGGAGCTCGCCGATACCGACGCTTCCGTCCAAGGTAAGGAATTAGCACGGCTCTGGAGTTGTTTCCAAGCATTCGTACGGAACTGCGTGAACCAAGGGTACACGAAGTCACTTTCATCGAAGTGCTTACTACATACGCGAGAGCTTTTCGAGTTCGTCTTGCCCATTTTCAACTTGGTCAGCCACTCCTTTCTGACTTTCCTGTCGCGCGGATAATAATAAAAACTTGCGCCCGTCTCACCGTGGTAGGTGTTGCACTGCGGTACCGAGCAGTACACCACCATCTCGGCGCTTCGACAACGCGTGAAACAACCTTTGTCGCGTCTAGAAAACTTTAAAAGGAACGATCTCAACCACCCGAGCACCGAAACGTAGCGCGGCCGACCTAGGAGGAGGCATCCACCAGTCCTACTGCTTACGTCACAAACGATGATGATGATAGCTGGAAAGCGCCCCCTATAGTTCGCACACGCCGCCAATAGTGTCGCGCTCTCTGCAATAAGGGAGTCTTAGAATAACGTACTCAAGCACTTTGGGCAAGCTAAAATTAGCATCGCCATAGGTTTTACATCGCAACGCTATTTTTACGGTACCCAAAGCGCTTGCGTACGTTTTTCTAAATCTTCCTAATAGTGAACTAGATATTTTTGAGAGCGATGAATCAGACAGGCTGACAAGCATATGACTGGGACTTTATTTTGTTTACAACTTATAACACAACCCTCGCTCACACGGAAAAAGCTTGAAGGCTTTCTAGCTTCAAGATGTCTTTTAGTTATTATTTTTAACGACGCTGTAGTGAATTTGCACTTCGCTTTTTTTTTGTATTCAATGAACCTAAAAGATTAATGTGCAAACTTCTTGCTATCAACAACAATTTATGATTTACGGCATAAAATTGCCCAGGCACGGCTCGGGCCGGCCCGGGCCGGCGCGGCCCGAGAACTTTTTTGTTCAAGCCCGAGCCCGGCCCGGGCCCGAGAAAATACGTGCTACCCGGCCCGAGCCCGGCCCGCGGGCCGGGCCGGGCTCGGGCTTTCGGGCTGGCCCGGGCCCGTGCAGTGCTCTAGTAAGTATCACGAGCCCGAATCGAGTGCCCACGGAATGCTCGGGTCCAATCTATGAACCGCATTCAAATATCGTCATATATACGATATACGAGGTACTGCCATCACCACGTTACGTCATCACATTTTGCAAGGGGGAGATTGAGTGAAAACGATCGCTTTTGTCCATGAAATTACACCGTAACAAAAACGTTTCTTGGTCAGTGGCGTTACGTGCGAGTATCCTTGAGTCCCACTTCTGCCAGTAAGCTCGTGTAAAGTGAAAAACTTTAAAGTTTTCAATATTGATCTTTTATATCCTTTCCATAAAGACCCCTACGTTTGATTCTGCGTTCATATTGAATTATCCGTTCATTAACCAGAAAACGTCACCTCTTACGGATTTAATCACTTCCGGTATAAGGCTTCTAACCGGTATTTAAAAAGACGGCTAAATTGACCTGCCAGAAAGGACACTTCATTTGCACCGCTAAACGCTTTAACTTGAAAAACCGGACTTCTCAACAGACAATACAAGCACAAAACTGAGTGATTTCTGCAAAAAGGCTATCGATCAATATATACAAAATGAATATAAAACCGTTAGGCGTAATATACGAGATTTTGAAGAATATGGTACCGCCTTGAAGCTCACTAGAGTTGGCGTAATGCGCCTTCTCAATGTAAAAAAGCCATGCCCATCTTTACTGTAGAATTTCACGCAAAATGTGTTCTCTGAATTATTAAGAAATTCAAAGGCAACGAGTATATACAGCAATCAAGTAAGAAATCTGCGAATGTATTTTTAAAGATTTAATAGAGCTGTATTAATAAAACGTGCACTATATAACATCATTTTTATTGTCAACTGAAGATGTTATTCTTTCAACATCCATTAGGATACTCTTCTTTTCCCGAGTCTTTATCTGTAAACAGAAATTAGAAGAAATATTATACCTGATGACACCAAATCGGCTTAATGATACTTTTGTATTATACTACTTTTAAGAGAATTAATACATCTACACGTCTTGTAAACGCGTCCGACTATGTGTCGCTATTATTAGAGTTCCAGTAAATACCAATCCAAAGGATAACTTTCGCATAATATTCTCCGTAAAGGATCTGCTTGCTTCATGCAGTGTAATATGAGACTGTATTTCTGAAGAAGTGCATATCTGAAAAAGTATTCAACAAATAAATTGCAAACATTTTTGGGACTAGAAGTAAAGTTCCTGTTTTGGGTTGCTAACTAAAATGACTTGGTGTGTCATCGTTCATTTTCTTATGTACACTTCATGAAAGGTGGTCAGTTTTATCAAGTCTACAAGGTGGATACATTTTTATCAATATAAAAAGGGCATTGCAGACAATCGTACGATGTTAATCATTTATAATGCACATTTCACCTTTCATATCTTTAAGATTTTGCTATAGTAATGTGAATTACTACATACTTTCACCCAACTAAAATATGCTAAAACGTACCAAGACGTATTTTAACTTAACATTTTAAGCAATATTAAAGAGTGTAATGTGTTGTAGCTAAAAATATTTTAAAGCAAAAAGCGGACAACTTTAATTGATTAGGTGCGACCATAGACAGCGCAGTGCAAAAATGCATTCCCGATAACCGAAGCGTGGACATTGCAAGCACATTTTACGGGCAATTCTAATGGTGTATCCGCTCGAAGATTTGGAGCGTGCCAAATGCGCTCGCTTTGGAGCCCGCATGTTCCGCCGGCAGATCCGGCTCAAGTTGGCCATCTTCCGCTCGCAGATCTGTTGGTAGCCCAAGTCCGTGGAGCGCTTCCGACCGCGCCGAAACCACTCCGTAGCAATTGAAAACGACCGTGTTGGTTAATAGATACAAAACTTGAAAGTATAAATCAGAGAGGACGAGGACGGGAACAGGACTCTGTAAATTTCGAGAGATCTCCACAGAACTCGCCAGCACGCATGTACATCGCAGGCCCAACATGTCCGGTCTTGTCTAGTCGGTCGATTGTTTACGCGGATGGTGCTTGTACACTGGTACGTCGCATGGTTCAGGGGGTGCGGAGGCAGCACTTGAGTGTGGAAAGTCGTAAGCGCTACCATCTGTGATTACGAGAGGAAGAACAGGAACAGAAGAAGATCCGAAGAAAGCAGACGCAAGGTTGGGGTGTTCATTTA